TTCTCATTACGCGACCAGAAATGATGACTTTCTCTTTCTGATGTTTTTGATAAGTTGTTCTCGAGCACTTTTTTGAAACGTCTGCTTAGTTGTCCAAGGAATTCTAAGGATTCTCCTGTAAAACCGCATCTCCAAGGCCTCAAGATTTTGTTCTGCTTGTTTATTAATTTCCATGATTCACAGCAGTATATTAAAATTGGCTCTATATAGCATGCGATAATTCTTGTCCTAACCTTCATTACCATGCATTTATTGCACAAAATATTCTTAATTTTACAAGTCAGTTTTGGTTTTTCCTATTCTCCTCATTGTCTCTGTGATACATCTTCCATCGGTTATTACTCATGTGCCTAGATACTTGAATTGCTGTACTTTCCTAAAATAACGCCTTTGATTGTCATGATACATTAAGGCACTATTCTTTTCTTGAAAATCACCGTTACTTCTGCCCATCAGTTCAAACCGAGACCTATTTTATCACTTCCTACAATCACCGTGTCTGCAGCCAGAATATGTTAGGTAGGTTTTTACAAAGCGGTCCACATGTGCGCCCTAAGTTATTAAATATACATTCACAAATATGTTTTATGTTTCTGTAAACTGCCATTATCTATAAATAAGTACTAAATGAATTGGAACCCTTTCCTTTACAGTGCAGTTTGAGACTGTCTATCACACCAACATCTCACCATTGTGGCGCTAACTTGGTGAAAAACTTGGCCGGAGAATATTTCTTGATTACCGCAGCTCACTGCATAAGGTGATTAGTGATTACTGATTAGTGATTAGAAAGAATTATCATCACAGGACAGATCCATGGGTGCTCCGATCTTCTCCTCAAAAGCTCCACAAGTGTAATACGACTGCTGACGCCTGTTCTGTGTCGGTTAATGAAATGTTCATAAGGTTTGGTGTTTAATCATTGATGTCTCATTATGTCTCTAATTTCTGCTGCTGTTTAGTTTACGCAACACCAGTATACGTCAGTTCTTTAAATGATTTTAAGTAGATTTCATCTGAAATGTTAAATTTTTTCTGTGTTGACCCCCGTGACTGCTCCGTGTTTTGAACTACAACTAAAACATGGCAAGTGGTAGATTAAATTCAGGACTTTATCTTCTCAAAGTCCATGTCGTGGGGCGTTGGTGAAGTCTTTTTGCTCGCATACTTTAAATCAGCCCCGATACAGATGATCTTCCATGTCATCCATGGTGTCAGACTATCCAACATCTTCTCACTCAGTCTTCCTCTGCCTCATCTCCCCTCCAACTTTCCTACTGTCACGATGTACTCCCGTTTTCTCCTCGTGACATGAATTAAACATTTAGATTGTCTCTTTCAGATGTTGGCTTTCTGCTCTTTTCGTGAGTTAGTTTTTTTCGAGACATTTTCATTACTCTTTGTTATGTGTCCATGGTATTCTCATTATTTGTCTATAAAACAGCATCTCTTTAGCTTGCAAATAATTTTTTTTCTTATCCGCCAATTCACTTCTATAAATCATTGTGATTTCCGCTCGCACAAGATCGATATACATTTATGGAGCAACATGCAACATATATGTGTGTGTGTATATATATATATATATATATATATATATATATATATATATATATATATATATATATATATATATATATGTGTGTGGTGTGTGTGTTTGTGTGTATAATTGTGTGTGTGTGTGTATCCACACATACATAATACAGTGTATAAATATTGTTTCCCTCAACTTACAAACAAGCATCAGTGCACAATAACAAACACGGCTTTGGCGCCACACGTTTTGAATCGCAGACAGCATCAGTTGCGCGCGGGTAAACATTTGTTGTCGTTGCATTGTTCCTGATACCGTTTTGTTGTTGCCTCAAACTGGCTCCAAAGAAAGTGAAAAGTGTTAGTGACAGTGGTGTCAAGAGGCCTAAAATGTATTAAAGTAGAAGCAAAGAAAATATAATCATTAAACATGAGTATGGTGTTCGTGTAAGGTTAAAAATGTTAGTCATATCAATCTATGGCGGATTGGAAGGAAATAATAACAGAAGGCATGGTAACAGGAAGTAGAGGTAGGGGCCGATTAGGATAGGCACAGGATATAAGTGACTCCTTGAGTATAAAAGTACATGAGGCGGGAGTGCGAGTATTTTTAGGCAGACGGTGACGTTATGCAAAGGACCTGCTACATGATGATAATGCATGTGTTTCTGATCTGGACGTGCATGCAGGAGAGGCGGTGGATCCATTCTTGTTTTCCCCACAGTGGGGCATTGGGACCCACACTGGGGAGTAGTGAATACAATGGTTGTATTTGCAGGTAATTCAATTGTTTGTTTCAGTGATGAAAAACCAGACAGATATGTTGCTTACTGTGGTATTCATGACATAGCCGCTCCATTCCAGCCCAACCGATTCGTTGTCACTTTCTCATCACTGGTCGTTCATGGGTAAGTATGTTGTAGTAGTAGTAATAGTATTAGTAGTAGTAGTAGTAGTAGTAGTAGTAGTAGTAGTAGTAGTAGTAGTAGTAGTAGTAGTAGTAGTAGTAGTAGCAGTAGCAGTAGCAGTAGCAGTAGCGTGCTAGTAGTAGTAGTAGCAGTAGCGTAGTAGCAGTAGCGTGCTAGTAGTAGTAGTAGTAGTAGTAGTAGTAGTAGTAGTAGTAGTAGTAGTAGTAGTAGTAGTAGTAGTAGAAGTAGTAGTAGTAGTAGTAGTAGTAGTAGTAGTAGTAGTAGTAGTAGTAGTAGTAGTAGTAGTCGTAGTAGTAGTAGTAGTAGTAGTAGTAGTAGTAGTAGTAGTCGTAGTAGTAGTAGTAGTCGTAGTAGTAGTAGTAGTAGTAGTAGTAGTAGTAGTAGTAATAGTAGTAGTAGTCAAAGTAGTAGTAGTAGTTGTAGTAGTGTAGTAGTAGCAGCAGCAGCAGCAGCAGTAGTAGCATAGTAGCATAGTAGCAGTAACGTAGTAGCAGTATTAATAGTAGTAATAGTAGTAGTGGCAGTACTAATTGTAGTAACAGCAACAGTAGCAGCAGCAGCCTGTAAGGTTCCCGATCTGTTTATAATAGTATTAATAATTTACACGATATCCTGTTCAACCGATTTTTTTAAATACATGTTTTAATAGTTGATATTTATGTTTGTTCTGTCAGGCAAGTGTTGGGAAGTAAAGGCGGCAGACATGATGCTGACCACATCACATTGGTGTACAAAATATAGGTCTAACCCTATATGCCCAGAACGCATGAAGGTGTGGAAAGGGTTCTTTACTGTACCCAATGTCAGGATAGTATACTATGTTTGCCATTTGCAACTGGTGAAGAAGGTGTCACGGTTGATCAGTGGCCAGTATACGGATTCCTAACCCCTGGGTCGCGACCTCTTGTGGGGTTGTGAAATGTTTTCTGGGTAAAACTAACGTTAGTCACCCCATTTAAACAATGTTACGAGCTATCTCATTTCTGATTGGTCAACCTTCAGCCTGGCTCATTTCTGATTGGTCAACCTTCAGCCTGGCTCACTTCTGATTGGTTGACTTTGAGCCACGTTACCTTGCCACTAGGTCACGCGACTGCTTCCTGGGCAGAAATCTATTTGCAGAATGAGGGAAAATCTGCATGTTTTGATTTAAGTTAATTAGTGAGTAAATCGACAGGCTATGCTTATTGCACATCAGACGTCCATAAGCGCTTGGATGCTGTCTTCAGTATATCTCTCGGCGTGTGGCGACTGATAAAACCAGTTCTGAGGAAAGAGTGCAGCGTTCATTGTTGTGTTTTCTTACCTCCACTAATTATATATAAAGAGTGTAGGTTTCGATGTGTTGTCGTTTACCCTATTCTCCTTCTTCTTTGTTCACCGGCTGTAATCTCCGGCGGAAAGTCGTAGCTATTCGTCCATTTAGCCTCTGGCTGTGTGCCAGGGCTTGAGTTTTTCGTGTACATTTGTTTTACTGATTTATTTGTGAGCAGTTGATTTTCACTGTCACTCGGGTAGAGGCACTCCGACTTCAAAAGAAGTTCCCTAAATTAGTAAACTCCTACGACATGCTTGTTGCCGAGACTGTGGGTCTATTCTGGTTTTCGCCCACAATGAATGAGAATGTTCTGAGTGCGGACAAGTCATTTATTGATTGATTGTATCATTCATTTATTCACTATTGCAGCCAGTATAATGCCTGGACTTTGGACTATGACATAGCCTTGTTTAGCCTGTCCGCTCAACCACCAACCAACAACTACATCTCTGCCGTCTGCATTCCCAATGAAGGATGGTCCGAAGGGGAGCAGGCAATCGTTGCTGGCTGGGGTACATCTACAAGTACGTGATTAGCTGTTAAAATTGCAGAATCTATGGTTGATTATTTTTGTCGATTTTTAAGAATTTACTTCACAAATTATTCTCATAATTTATGCTCGTTATGTCGAATTCTTGGGACTGAAAGAGTTACATCCACAGCTCACAGTGTCTCACCATGCACTAAATTCAATAGATAGGCGATGGAACTTTATCCTTTTAGTTTATGTATGAAGGAAAATACAACAGTTAACTATTGGTCTGCCATATTGACCAGAGAATCGCTTTCATTAGACTCATACACATAAATCGTATCACACACAGGCGTCACTGCTCCCTACAAACTACACCAAGTGAACAAACTTATTGCGCCCAGGGCCACCTGCCAGCAGATTTACGGAGGCTCGTCCGTCACTGACCGGATGATCTGTGCTGGTCTGCCCGCGAATGCTGTTGACTCCTGCCAGGTAAGTCACATAGTTTCTTTTCTTCTAATTAAAAAAAGGTGTGCTTTATTAATATCCTACCTCAAACAGGGGAAACACGGGACAGTCTAATATTTAAGGGGGTGGTAGATAGGCTGCATGCAGTCGTGGGGTGGAGGCTGCAAGCAGTCGTGGGACCTAGGCTGCACTCTCTCGTGGGACGTAGGTGGGTTGGGGTTAAGGCCAGTTCTATTTGTTTTGGGGGTCGTTAAAAGCATCAGAAAGCCGGGAAACCCAGTCTTACCACCCTCTAAAGTGTTGGACGGTCCTGTGACGTCATCTGGGGTAGGATATTAACAAAGCACCAAAAATGTTAATAGATTGGTGTGGGGCGGGGGAGCGGAGAAGAGAATTCTCTTTTGGTTGTGCGGTTCAAACAAATCGTCAATTTCAACTAGCGTCCCCAAAGGGTGAGCTTTTAGTTATAATTTAGTTATAATTTAGTTGTAATTTAGGTATAATCAATGTCCCGGTCGGCGACGAAGTGGTCTACTGGCGAGCCAATGGGCGACCTGGTCGCCGATGCAGATGGAGGGGGATGATAAGCTTATGTTATACGAGATGTGTTCAGAAACTAATGTTCATCGTTTAAGTCTCCGATTGTAGTGAAGATAGAAATATGAACTGACGTGTGTGTGTTCTGGGGCCCTGTTGTGGGGAAAACAAGAATAGACCTATTCCCTACCCAATAGCGTGTCGTCAGAATCGACTTATTGAGTTTTCTTCGAAACCGGAGTGCATCTGCTCTAGAGGCAAGGAACCGGTGGTCTGCATAAAATGAGTCAGATCTGTAAAATAGATGTGCACGCATAGCTCAGGTTGTGAAACTCGAGTCCAAAAGTTGAGGAACAACCAGAACTTCCTGCAGAAGTTTACACCCGGTGAACGGAAAGAAAAAGACATGAAATACAAGCTTACCATTTGAAGTGTCAGTATAGTATATGCGAAATGGCACCGCCTTCCACACACACACACGCACACACACAGCTGTTTTACAGTGTGCGTAACAAACAACGAAGTGCTGTAAACAAGTGTTGCCGAAAAGAAAGTGTGGTGATGACCATTTACAAGTGTGTGTGCTATTTATGGAAGTTGTGCTATCGATATGGGCAGCCTTGGTCGCTGGGTTCAGAGAGTTAAAGCTTCAGTAAGTGTTGAGACAGGCTATGTGAACCCTAAGAGTATCAGTCCATGGACCTAATGAGAAATATTTAAGGGTTTGTTTTATGATACAAAATCCCCAACCTTATTGCTACAAGTCTGGTAATGAAGTGGTTGACATTTTACCAAAGGGAGATGAAAAGCTTTATCAGCTTGATATGGACAAACCTTTGATTTCACACCTCTGCTACAGTACTGAGATTGTCATCCTACCTCGTTACGTTCTAAGTTTACGGGAAGATCTCATATTTAACACATCCCCAGCAAAATCCTTCATTGGACTTTTGAATATTTTTCAGGGTGACGGTGGTGGCCCTCTGTACACATACAGAGAGAACAGGTGGACTCTGGCCGGTAAACATTTATTTGTCCTTGTTATTTGTCCTTTTAGTATAGTCGAGCGGTTAGCAAGTTGACGACTCATTCGAAATGTACTAGAAGCGGAAAGCCTTGAGTACCAAGAAAAATAAAGAGAGTCCGTTAGGCGGGGACTAGAAACATAAATACTCTAGCCCAGACAAGAAATCTTCTGTGTACCAGGACAACAAATAAACTAACCGCAAGTCATAATCTGAACCAAAAACAACTGGAACTATAATCACCACATTCAACAGCTGTTTATTTCATTGAACTGAACACTCAAAATTAACGTATACTTCACAAATAACATATTAACAACCAACGTGTTCGACCAGAATGTAAAGTGCTAATCATCTCCAGCTAACAAGGAAATATGATAATGTCACCATATGCTCAGTGAGATTATCTCAACAATGGCTAAAACCGAAACATATTTAACATGTACATTAGGCTTCAATATGCCACCAGACCAACAAATTACTTATAGGGACTTGCCATCCTAGCAAGAATACACTCCAACATATTTCTACACAGTTTAACAACTAGAGACAATTTCCGGGCTAACTATGGAAACATATTACAGCCGCGAATCGGCCCGATAACCGGCCTTCCCCTGCAGTCGCCAATACCCATGCTGGCTAGCTCAATGTGCAGAGCCACAACAGCTGAGTAAACCTCCTGCAGGGTCCGTCCGGAAGTAAAATAAAAGAGCCAAATACTTAGTGAGCTAGCCTTTTTATACAAAGTGGCCAGACTTTTCCACATTTGTAAACCAGGGTATCTACCAAACAAACCAAAATCATAAAGCTGCTAAACAGCAGTCTTTGGCGTTCTCGAGCCTATCACAGAAAGATCCATTTCCAAATTTAGGCTAAGAATATGGACATTTCTTATAAGTAAGGTAAAGGACCCTTTTAAACGCTTTAGGCGTGTATAACATATAGTGCTAAACCTATATTTTAAAGACCAATCGGCATAAGATGGGTGATGCGGTCAGCATCACACCAGCCTCCTTTACTTCCCAGGACTGCACCTGGAAGGCTGGATCGACCTGGGAGCCAAAGAAAATTTCTAATAATGGGCCAAAAAGTAAAAATTCCTAAACTGCACAGTTCATACGAACAACGAGGGTCCAAACGCTCAGATTAAACACCGCATGTCCGAAACATTCATACACAGCCAAAACAAGAGGTACATGCAGGCAGGAAAGACGGTTCTTGTAGAAGCAGGCTATCAATACAAATAAAAATATCGTCCTGTCTCCACGATGAAATCTACACTGTAACCGTCATTATTTTTGCGATTATTGGCTCAATGAGGAGCCACTCTCTTTCATGCTGCTACTTTTCGTTCTCATCATCGCTAATCAACAGGTCTTATACAGAACGTCGCTTTTATCTCGGCACGGCTTAACGTATCTTCTTCTTTGGGTAATTCTCCAGCCATATGTGCTTTCATAGAGAAAGCATCGTTAGTTATGAGTTCAGTTATGAGTTAGATTATCTTCACAGCACTCCGGGCACATCCATGGGTGCTCAGATTCCCCTCTCAACATATTCATCGGCGTCGCGTGGTTAAAAGTACCAGTCCTATATTGGTTTATAATATCTTGTGCGTCCGGTGGGCCTCTCGTGCTTGGCTGTGCCGATCTTTACTCCCAGTTCTCGTATTCTTAGCAGTGATGTGGACACGTTGCTTCCAAAATCCTCAGAACGTCCTATGTCTCTAAGGGCAATGACAATGTCTGCGTGATCCATCGGTCAGCCATCTTCAATTAATGCAGTACCTGCCAGTCTATCAGCTCTTTTATTGCCAACAACGCCTGCATCCTCTGGGACGAATATGGAAGTAACTGCACACACAGGAGAGTTTTGCAGTGACTCAGACCACTGTCTGCGTAACCAGCCTGCCTCCAACCGATCGTCTGTGTCTGTGTCTTGATCCACATGTTCGAAGGTCTGGCTCTTCCTCGTTTTTCGGGAACGACCCTCTAACACTTTCTTTCTAGACCACTATGACGTCTACCATGGATAAAATACCTCAGCTTCAGGACAGGATGCTGTTTATGAGCCAATTTCCTCAATGCTGACATCATGTAGAATGTCTATGTTTTCTTCTTCTTGGTCTAAGGTATTCTGATGATTTCCTTGCAGCATTTCAGTTGAAGAGCTCCGTACTACTGTCTGACAAACAATCGGAATGGGGGGGGGCGGAGCTAGAGGGTTGCTCAACTAAATCGCCTGATGCGGAATCGAACCTGAGAAACACGAGTTTGTTACATGCATTCACTAACCTTTAAACCACATACCCACCATGGTTCCACAGAATATAATCTCGCTCACATACAATGGATAACATACTTGCCTATCGATACTGTGGTCGAATGATCCACAGCTCCAAAACAAGCATGTTATGAAAGATGAGTAATTATAGACTTGCTTAATTAAATCCAGCTCAGGCCGAAAAGTGAAGAAAATGATGTTCTGGTGGCTGGTTTTTGGTCGTACATGTTATTCCATTGGTGGCATTCAAGTGTCCATAGTAGGGATATGGAGCTTTCCCTGCCACATGTTTTGCCCACTTTCCTTATTTAAACTTATTTATTAAAACGCCTCAACAAGAGAAATGGGAGAAAAAATCATCATCATCATCATCATCAAGGGCCATGTCAACGGGCGTTGGCGAACATGTCTCTCCAGAGTCTCGTGTGATATCAATTGTTAACTGATGAGCTGTGGTTATAGTAGTACACAGCTAGCCGGCAATAGCTGGAGAGGAGGGGGGGGGGTAACATTAATAAGTAGGCCGTATGTGGCATGTGCATCAGGGTCCCCTGGGTATATGGTGCTATGACTTTAAATAGAGGTGGAAATGAGAAATTATAGCAACGGGGCGGGTGTTGTATCACAGTGTTAGTTGTCAGGGGCTCTGTGAAGGGGTCAAATTGTTGTGTCGGCTAACTACATTAGGGGTTTTTAGGGTTATTGGGGGAGGGGGGGATTAACTACACATAGTGATATGACTTTCCATACACGGGGAAAGGAAATATAAGTTTTTTCTATACTTTTCGTTGTGCTTGTCGGCTCTTGCCCCTCTTTCTGATACTATGTCTTCTACTATTAATTTTTCCAAACCGTCCTGGCGTTTGAATTTGGCAAAATAGTTTAGTTTATGATGCAAATACCTTCTTACTTATTTCAAAATGTACCCTTCGTGTCCACACCCCCCCCCCCCCCCCACATCTTTTTTTTTAATTACAATTTCTGTTGGGATCAAGTTGACCTTGGTTGTTTAGATGCTATTGCTATGTTGTCCTGTCGGTTTAGTTTTCTAGTCACAATTTGTGTTGTACTCCGTTGATAAAGACTTGGGTCTATAGGTTGTTGTATTATTGCTCGTTATGGTCTAAACGTCAGTTTTATTTAAGCTTGTCTTTTCCAATCCACATTTTTTGTTGCATTTAGTGCTGTTAACAAGACCATTTTCCCTGATGTTAATTTTTTTAATATGTCAATATTTATTGTGTTCTTTGTCCATAATTTTATGAGGATCTTTCTGTAGTATTTCAACTCAAAAGCCGTTTATACGTTTATGCAAATATCATTGCCAGGTGTGGTCAGCTGGGGCTACGGCTGCGCAGAAGCCGGCAGATCCGGTGTCTACACTGACGTCTTTGCCTTGAAAGCTTGGATTAACGAAAATATAAACCCCTAATTTGGCCAAGATGGTTTTAGCAGCTTCGCACTCAAAATTTGGCCGAGCACACTTGATTGGTGAATACTTATTGCCAGCCACAATTTTACAACTTTGACTAAACAGATAATGGCTTACATCTGACTTGTGGGTTCATTGCACAAAATACCAAAACCCTAAATTATCTAATTGTTAAAGTACAACGGTGATTTTGTAAACAAAGAATGGCTGGTTAGTAATATATTTTTAAATATTTTATTCCCTAACTGAGCACGCATTTGAGAGATCTTAATAAAGCAGATTATATTTCAAACTGTTGTTGTGTTAATTTGTATATCTTCTTTTTGTTTTCTCTATCTCATTCTACCCATCCTTCCTGCTTTCTCATGTGTATTCTCCTTCGCTTTCTTCTTCTGTTTCTTCTTCTTCTTCTTCTTCTTCTTCTTCTTCTTCTTCTTCTTCTTCTTCTTCTTCTTCTTCTTCTTCTTCTACTACTACTTCTGCTTCTTCTTCTTCTTCTATCTTCTTCTCCTCCTCCAATACAGTACAAACACCCAGACCAAGAAATAATGGTGCAGCCTCACACGACCTCTTTTTGTCACCCCTTACAGCATGTACTAGTCAATCAGGTGCCATCTCCACACTAGCTTTTTGCTGCTACTGATCTCCAACACGCTCTATCTTTCGCCCTGGATGTGCTCTGCCTGAAACTGCTGTTCGTCTATCTCTTGGTGTCACCTCACAACATTACAGAGTTAACTTTTTCTTAGCTTCCATTCAGTAGTATTGCAAGGTCAGGCTGTACCCGGTGCGAAAAACTACTCCAAACACATTCACACACATTTTTCACGGTTAAAAATACATATTGTTGCCACCCCCCCCCCCCGACTCAGTTATGACACCTGGTATAGCTGCCATCCATCCCAACCCCTCTCACGCACGCCATTTTCTAAAGGACCCAGAAAAAGGCGACTTGTTTATTTGCACAGGAAAGGTTAATAAAACAATCCATTCCGTCAAATGTGTTCTACTACTTCCTCGCGTTCACTGGCTGTAAACTCCGGCAGAAATGTTTGGTTGCTCGTCCAAATCTGCACTTTAGTCTTGTTCCAGAACTTGAGTTTTGCGTGCACATCTGTTTCACAGATCTAGTTGTCTTGTATGCAGACAGTTGCTTCTTTGGCTGCCAGGCAGGTGCACTCCAACTTTGAAAGAAAGCCATAACTAGTTGACTCTTACGACATGTATGTTGGGAGCAGTCGCTCTACTCCCCCAATTCCCTTCTCCCCCCGCAATGGAGTTTCGGAACTCATAGGGGGAATCAAATGCCACACCTTGAACTAAGATAGGTTACACTGACTTTGTCTTTGTGTTGCACTCACTTTAACTCTTTCAGTCCCGAGCCAATTATTACTTTAATCCTTTTTGCTCCAGAGACAGACCTAAAGGCAAATAAATACTCCAGAATGAAGGAGTTAAAGGTCGTGGGTTCGATTCCGAACTCCGCTAAGACCGGTCCCAAGCCCGGCTGTAAAAGGAGGAGGGTCTGGCTGAACCTGAGTGCTTCATGCGCCTCCGGAAGTAGTGGGAACCGTGAATCAGCCAGACGGCCTGCATGGAGGCCGCAAGGAGGCAGCCCCTTCACCATGCAAAGGCACAACAGGCCAATCACCTGTTTGCCTTAAACCACGATTACAAGTAACTACAGAGAGAAAACCGGACGGATCTTAACGGCGACGAACTGGCATGGCTTACGGACTACGATTTATGGAACATGGAACATAAGAGGCATTAACGGGAAGGAAAAGGAGTTAGTAGGGGAGATGAGGAAAGCAAAATTAGGAGTCTTGGCTCTGACTGAAACCAAGAAAAAGGGGCAAGGAATCACAGATCACGATGGAAGTATGCTGCTCTACAGTGGTGTCCCTATGACGGAGAGAGCCAAGGGAGGTGTTGGCTGTATTGTGGCCAGGAAACAAGTTAGTAACATCAAGGGATGGAAATTCATCTCAGAGCGAATAATGGTGTTAGATCTGAAAGAAGAAGATAAAATTGTCAATTTTGTCATTGTGTACGGGCCAAATGAAGATGAGCGAGTAGATGTTAAAGAAGAATTCTTTGAACTGCTCCAAAGGACCATAGATGACTGTCACGATGAAATTATCCTCCTAGGAGATCTAAATGCCAGAGTAGGAAATGATCACTCTAGATGGGGTGAAGTGATCGGGAGATAGGATGAAGTATTTTTGAATGATAATGGCAAGCGACTTCTCAGATTCTGCAGGGAACAGAACCTTGTCATTACAAACACAAAATTCCCCCACAAGCGTATACATGCATACACAAGATGTGAACCTTCAAAAAATGAAAAATCCATCATTGACTACGCCATAGTTAGGAAAAGTTCATTCAAGTTTGTGAGAGATGCCAGAGTCATGAGAGGACCAGAGATTGGAAGTGACCACTATCTGGTCACAATAAAGAGAACAACTGAAAGAACTGCTCCAACAAGGCAACACCGACAACCGTGCAAGAAACCAAGCAACCAAGAAGGGATGAGGATTAAAGCATACAAGCTAAGAGAGCCAGATATTAAGGCTAGATACCAGGAGCTAATAGTGAAAGCAATAGGAACTGAAGAAGAAGCATCAGAGGACACTGAAACCCTCTGGTGCAGATTCAAGAATATCCTCACAGCAGCTGCAGTAGAAGCATGTGGTGAAGTCCCGAGTGGAAGGCGGGGACATAGGACACCTTGGTGGGCGGAAGAAGTTAAATTGAAAATAGGAGAAAAGAAAAGGGCATGGAAGCAATACCTGGCAGCCAGGAACACAGCTGAAGAAATAGAAAAATATAAACAATATGTGGCACTCAGAACAGAGACCAAAAATATTGTGCTTAAAGCAAAACAGAAATCATGGGAAGAGTTTGGAGAAAAGTTGGAAAAGAATGCAAGAGAAAACCAAAAACTGTTCTACAAGACCCTTAAGAACATGAGGAAAGAGAAAGAGTGCCCACTTAAATTCATAAAAGACAAGGAAGGGGCTCTGCTTACTTCTACAAATGATATCATGGGCAGATGGAAAGAATACTTCTCAGAGCTCCTCGGCGTTGAGGGAAGTCATGACCCAGAAATAATGGACCTCACTGCTGAGAAGGAATTCAATCATGGGGAAGATAACATCAGGATGGAAAAATTGAAGGCAGCTATTGAGAAGATTAAGCTGGGAAAAGCAGCAGGTCATGATGGTATAACACCAGAGATGGTCAAATATATGGGAGCCGAAGGTGAGCGCCTTCTACTGAAGGTTCTCCAGGCAGCCTGGTGTAGCAAAACTATACCAAAAGATTGGGAGATTGCCATCATTATACCTATATTTAAAAAAGGTGATAACAGACAATGTGAAAACCACAGAGGCATATCCCTCCTCAGCGTTCCAGGTAAAAGTTACTCTAGAATTCTTGAGCAGAGACTTAGAAGTCTGGTAGAGCCACAGCTGGACGAGGCCCAATGCGGCTTCAGAGCAAACCGAAGTACTCAAGACCGTGTCTTCACACTGAGACAGATGAGTGAAAAAGCCCTGGAATATAAGAGTGAGATGCACTTATGTTTTTTGGATCTGGAAAAGGCATTTGACAAGGTACCCTGGAACAAGCTCTGGGACTGCTTGGCAGGGAAAAACATCCCAGCACCCCTGATCAGTGCAATACAGAGTTTCTACAAAAGGTGCAGAAATTATGTAAGAACAGCAGACCAAAAGTCAGAAGAATTCAAGACCGCCAGCGGTGTTAGACAAGGTGATATTCTCTCACCTTACCTCTTCATTCTTATGATGGATGATGTCATCAAGACCTGTAAGGAGAAGACAAAGAAGTACTCTGTAGGGTACTGGAAGATGAGACCAATCTGTATATCAGAGCTGGCTTTTGCAGACGATGTGGCCCTGATAGCTAAATCAGAGTCACACCTTCAGTCCAACTTACTTGTCTGGAAGGAAGAGCTCGAAAAGAGAGGGATGACCATCAGTATCTCCAAAACTAAAACCATGGTGATCTCAAGAGAGGAGAAGAAACACCAGATCATGATGGGACAGTATGCATTGGAGCAGGTTAACCAGTTCAAATACCTTGGAGTTGTACTTGACCAAAACGGAGTCATTAAGACTGAGCTGGCTACACGGGAAGCAGCTGCTGGGAGACTCTTCCAGGCCATAAACCGAGGGTTTCTTAGCAAAAGAGAAATTGGCAAGAGGACGAAAATGGCTGTTTACCGCTCTACCTATGTACCAGTCCTGACCTATGGGTGTGAGTCATGGGCAATGTCAACAGCTCACAGAAGCCAGCTGCAGGCCTCGGAAATGAGATACCTGAGAAAGGTGGTCCAAGGGACAAAGTCCGCAATCAGACAATACGTCAAGATCTTGATATCCAGCCCTTACAAACCCGAGTAGATCAGTCACAGTTACGATGGTTTGGACATGTATGCAGAAAGGGAGAAAATCGGCCACCATGGGAGGCTGAGAACCAGGGAACCAGACCTCCGGAACGACCCAAGGTGCGCTTGGAAGACAACATCCGACAGTCATTGACTGACAGAGGACTGGAATGGAACAAAGCCAGAAAGAAAACTGCTGATAGAGACGTCTGGCGATCTCTCTGGCAAACCTCTACACCCCAGGGTAGAAGAGGAGCGACTAAGTAAGTAAGTAAGTAAGTTATTGGGGGTGGGGTTGCGGGAGGGAGGGGAGGGGGAGTGGAGAGATGGTCTGGAAGATATTCAACAATGAGAGGAAAATAGGCGGATTTTTAATTAGGCTGCAACAGGTACTGTGAGCGTATTGAATCTTCTTTCGAAACTGAGGAAAGAGACGGAGCACGTGTAAGACTATCCCTCGTTCATAGTTCTTGATTTATTCATTCATTTAACAGGGTACTGCGTGGTCACAAGCATTGTGTCCGCCTCGAGTTGTAGAGGTTCCGGGTTCAATTCCCGATAAGGGCTGAAATGTTTTCACTCTTAC